CACTGGAGGAGCATGAGGAACATGAACACCAGGCCTGCCATGACGGTCAAGGCCATGGCGGTATAGAGGATGAAGATGTGAACTGGTTTGATAGTGATGCGCATTAGGAAGATGCAGACGGAGATCTTGCATCCAACCGAGGCGAAGCAGTAGGCGATCTCGCAGAGCCACCAGTATTTCATTGCTATGAGACGATTCTCGGCAGCGAGGTTTTTGAACATATAGCCTGTGCCAAAAATCGTGCCTCCGATCATGGTTCCGCAGAACATGGCGTAGAATAACTGTGGAATTAATTTTTTAGATCTCTATAACGTGGAGGATTCAAGATTCAATATCAAACATACCAATGCAATTACCATAGTCCCATCATCCCATCCGAATGCCTTTACGATCCAGCCGCGCACATAGATGCGCAGCATCACCGTAATCGTGGCGATAGGCAGGAAGACCGCGGCGACGGTCTGAACCGCCGTGCATCGTTGCTTTTCGTCTGTCATATCAAAGGCTTGACATAGCCTGAAGGATTCGAATGTGGGGGGGGGGAAGGATTCTTAAGACCGTTCTCCCTAACCAGACCCACAGGAAACCTTCCGAAATGCAGGGGCAAAGCGAAGAACTAGAACCTTTTAACCTTTTACTTTTTAAGCGCTTTTTTGGTCGGGAAACCCCCTTGGAATAGCGCTAAGCCGACCTCGAGATGATCGACACGCCTCTCATGGCTTCATCGAAATATATTGACTAAGAGCGAATTGTACTGTCGATCGTGAAATAGCCGGGATATTATGAAGGTATTATGTGGCGAGGTGGACCGCCAAGAAGACGGACTTTTTCTGTGAAGAAAATCTGCGTCTAAGGTGTGTTTTTGGGCTGTGCTTGGCAGGATTTGCGCAAGCTAGTTCACGCCGTTAGGTTTAGCTTCGTTTGACTTGGCCGAATTCGCACTTTCCTGGCAGTCCGAAATAGGTAATGGGTCCGGTGGTGTCAATCATTGCCGAGGCTGATTGATACTTTGAGCAAGTAGAGTGGCGATCACGATTAACATGACGCTAATGGCGTGTACTAGCTCGTCTTTGGAAACAATAACTTTCTTGCCGCTTAAGTAGCTATGTTATTAACGATCCCGGCCAACCTCGGTGATTAAGGGTCTCCTTTTTGTGGATGAATGGCGATCTTGCTCAAGAGAGGTCAATGCAGATCGAAATTGGTGTAGGGCTTGGGATCTGAGTTGCGATTAATATATGCAAATCTTGCAAACACATCTGAAACAGCTTTCCGGCTTTCCAAGCTTTATCCGAATAATAATCTAGCAAAGACCTGGAGAGTAGTTTGGACTATTCAGATTCCTTAAAATTAGAATATAAGCTATAGTCCAACGAACCTATCAAAGCTCAACTAAAGTAATTTAATATGTGCAGAAAACGTGGCGGGCCCCGCAATCCTTCCGATGGCCCCCAAACCTCACCTTATCCTGAACACATACATATACCACCACCATCACCACCACCACCATCACCACCATCACCACACGCAATGTCACACGTCGACGTCCCACACACCCAAAAGGCCTTTGTGCCATTAGGTCCGACTCAACCCTCTCAACTCCGTTATGCCAACTCCAAACTAACCCCTCACCCAGAAAACAACCCCGAAGTAATGTCGCACCTAGTGCACCAACTCGGGCTCGCCCCAACACTAGGCTTCACCGACGTATTCTCCATCGACGAGCCAGACCTCCTCGCCTTCGTCCCCCGCCCCTCCCAAGCCCTCCTGCTCGTCTTCCCCGTCTCACAAACCTACGAAGCTTCCCGCGAAACCGAAGATGCCTCCAAACAAAACTATACCGGTTCCGGCCCCACAGAGCCCGTCATGTGGTTCAAGCAAACCATCCGCAATGCATGTGGGCTGATCGGCCTGCTACACGCTGTCTCGAACGGCGAGGCCCGGAAACATGTCATTGCCGGCTCGGATTTGGATATATTGCTCCGTGAAGCGGAGGGGTTGGAGCCGGTGAAGCGTGCGGATTTGCTTTATGATAGTAAGGCGCTGGAGAGTGCGCATGCTGATGCGGCGAAACTGGGGGATACGGCTGCGCCGGAGGCGGGAGATAACGTTGATTTGCATTTTGTTGCTTTTGTTCGGGGGCTTGATGGGACACTTTGGGAGTTGGATGGGAGGAGGAAGGGGCCGTTGGCTAGGGGGTTTTTGAAGGAGGGGGAGGATGCGCTTAGTGAGGCTGCGTTGGAGCTGGGGGTTAGGAGGTTCTTGAAGATGGAGGCGCAGGGGGGAAATCCGGATTTGAGGTTTAGCTTGGTTAGCTTGGGGCCCTTGTTTGATTAGAGTCGTATGGGGACGAGTTTATTTTTCGAGGGGTAATTTCTGAATCTGGTATTCGGATAGATAGGGTGTCTTTCTTCAACTATGCCTCGAAGGCTTATTAAGTACATTTAATGATATGTGTCTGTCTTTGGCATTCCGCGGAGAATAGTAGGATATACCGGGATGTGGTGTATATATATACATGCCCAGATATATCTAGTGTATTCAGATATCGCACACATTTTGCCCTTCAATCACAATGCCGACCCTCTTCGGAACTGCACAGGCCAACTCAGTAGTCTACCTCTTCTCGTGCTCCGTGATATCAACCGCAGAAGAAACCACAGAATTGATATTGGCAGTAACAGCTGTCTTCTCGCCGACCTCCTCACCAGTCCCCTCGCCGGGAATCAGCGGGACGTCTTGCGGGACATCATTTCCCTGTTTACCGATTGTCAAGAACGGCACCAGAGCCAGAGACACACCCGAAGCCGCAGCTGCAAACCAATAAACTGAAAGGTAAGGCCGAATGGCAGGCGTGGAGGCGGTCATGCGAAGGGCGACTGAGCTTTGCACAGAAGTAGCAATGCCAAGGCCCAGGTTGCTGCACAGCTTGTTGACGGTGTTGAAGATACCACCGGCGATGGATTGCTGGGAGGGTGGGAGAGTTGACATCACATACATCTAGACGAGGTTAGTCAATACCCCAAAGACGGAACATATTGCATAAAGACAAGGAAATGAAATGAAGGACGAGCTGAACGTACATTTGTGACGTTGAATTGAATATCAGCACCAACAACGACAAGAACTAGCGCTGGGAAAATAAATGCCCAGTAGGAAGCTTCTTCCCTCATGAAGCTCAGGATAAGGAACGAGGCCGTATACGCCAGTGCTCCGATGCCGGTTAGAATTGTGTTGCTTACGCGGTGCAGGACCAGGCCGCAGACAACATTGACTAGCACCCCGCTGACAACCATCGGGAGTAACTGGACGGTGATCTCAAGGGCAGACAGATGTTTCAGATTTTGAAGGTAGAGGGAGAGGAAAAAGCTGACGGCAGAGAACCCCATGAAACCAATGCAGCAAGTTCCAATGAGCTGAGCAGTCAGTTTCGATCTATCTTTCCTTGGAAAGCGGACACACATACCAGAGAAAAGTTACGATCTCGCCAGACCCAAAGGGGCATCAGAGGGTGCGTAGCAACGGACTGCCAATACAGAAACGCCATGAGAAGGAAAAAGCCCACAATAAACAGAGCAAGGACGTATCCCGTTTTCCAGCCATCCGGTGCATCTGCAGCAAGACTATAAAGTGGTCAGCGGGAATGTCAAAAACATGTCGAATCCACCAGAGGGAAAACATACGAAAGCGAACTCGAAAAAAACGCAAACCCAACAATAACCAACACCATCCCGAGAAGATCAAACTGTTTCAAAGCATTGACGCTCAAAGGCGTCCTATCAAATCCATCCGCCGGCACCGTCCACACGGTCAAAACGGTAAAGATAGCATAGACAACAGCGAGAGCCCAGAAAGAAGCGCGCCAGCTATACAAATGGGCCGCGACACCGGAGATGATCATGCCGCCGACAAAACCAAGCGGGTTTCCCGCGCTGAAGCAGGCAAAGGCAAGGTTCTTGCGTTTCGAGGGTTTCTCATAAGTAGCACCCAGGGCGCCGACCGCGGGTGGGACGACGGCGGCTGCGAATAAACCTAAGATCCCCGAGAAGACATCCATGTAGATGGCGTTTGTTGCGAAGCCTGCGATGAGTAGCGAGAAGGTGAAACCAGCCATGCCGATTATGAAAAGAATCTTCCGTCCGAACATGTCGGCTAACTTCCCGAAGGTGAGTAGAAAGGCGCCACTGGTGAGGCTGTTGGGGTTGCATGGTTAGTTGTGTATGTTGTGTGATAGATGTTGTATGATGTATACGGGGATAGGGTGAGATCGAAGTCGGATAAAACCCAGGGGAAACGTGGGGAGAAATAGGTATGGAAAATTGTACGTACGAAGCACCGGCATTAATCCAGGTGATTTCAGCGGCATTCATATGTAAATCATTGCCAATAGATGCGGTTACTCCCACGATACAGCCCTGGAAGAATGACTGCTGGCCAATGGCCATTGTGGCAGTTAGGACAAAGAGAACTTCTTGAAATGTGCTGTTGAAGCATTTTGGACGCTGTGAATTGTCGACTTCTGTCCCATTTTCTTGATCTTTGGCCATTTCTGAGAAATCTTCTAAAGTAGAAGATTCTGTTTTTGGGGCCGAAAATTTTGTCTATTCGGCCAGTTTAGGGGTGGTCACACAGGGGGAATAATATGTCTAACAAAAGAGAAAGTATTTCCCTGTGAACGTTTCTGAATGGGCATAGTAATTGATACTTACGATGTCAATTTATTAACCTGATCAAAAGTCACCAAAAAAATGATTTCTTTTGTCAGCGCGGAACATGCCGCGCTGATCGTTATCGGGTGAGACTCGAGAATAAGCATGCAGTGCGCCCAGACTAGGGCCTTGATGTATATGCGTCATGCATCATGAATGCACGTGAAACAAGTATCATGACTCCATACACATTAGCGCTGAGTCAATAGCTGTTAACAGCTGGCATTGGAAGCCATCAACGAAAGGCATCTGGCCGACCCGAACCCCCTGATTGGCGCATTTTGCATCTCTCTATCCAAGATTAACCCAGCATTCACGGGCATTGAATCGAAGAACCTCATTACCAACAGCGCACCAGCCAGCGGTCAAGTTGCGTGCAAACACCTCGAGAGCAGAATACCCCTGAAGCTGACCAGCCTCGGTGAAGAACACGTTCTCAAAAATGGATTTCAGGTTTGGCTTACGAGAATGCAAGTCCGGAACCGCAGCGATGACTCGTCTCGTGGTAATGGCCTCACTTATCCGTGTCAGATCATCCATTTGAGACAGGGGTGTTGTACTGCTGGCCTTTGCATTGACATTGACATGATGCCCACTCTTGCGGCCAATGACAAGGATCTCATACGGTTTTCGCCAAAGGCCGTCCAGTGCTGTAATCGGTTGTCCGTTCCATGTAGTCTTGACCCATATCCATTCCTCACAGATGCAAAAGCCTGCACCGCTTAAAGCCTCGTATGCTGCTCGCCGGGCCTTTTCCGCATTCGTGATCCATATAGCAGCTATAGACTGTTCACTTTGCATCGGGCGTCCAGTGTGTGTTTCAGATGGCCGTAGCCCCTGGCTTATTTCTGGAACGTGCGAGTGGACACGAAGTATATCTCGTAAGCCTTCACTAAGCACATCCATCTCAGAATAGTGATGTGTTTGGTAGTGTCTGCTGCGCCGCACGGATTTGTTTGGCCAGGGCGGGTCCATAAGGATGAGATTGAACTTCCGGTGCTTGGGGAGCCCGGGGATTGGATAGTTATTCGATGTAGATGGACGGTTGACCTCAGTCCGGAATAGAGGTAGTGTACAAAGCACAAAGCTCGACTCAGATGGGACCACATATTCACATGGAGAATTCGTTTCACCATGCCAGCTTCCAACCCTAACAATTGCGGGCTCTGGTGATGGATTCTTGACTACGGCAAGATCTGATAAAGCCTCAAAGTCATTTAACGAGGTGGTCGATAGAATTATGGGTGGTTCATTTTCAGTTGAAATATGGTCATCCGGCATAGATTCTAAACACGTAGTATCATTTCCCCTCCGCCGCTTCCGTGGATGCTGATTCGGCGCGGTGCTATCGTGGGATGCACTAGGTACAGCTCGAGCCTCACACCACCGACGATCATGGGGAAACCTGGCCCTGATGGTTTCGAGAGAATCCCTCACGAGTGGCAGTATCAGTTCCGAGTGGAACCGTCTCTCGGAGATAGGAATGCTGCCGAGGACCTTGGCAAGAGCAGCTGGCTTTTTGGGCTCGGTAGAAGGGAATGGCTCTTTTATGGGTTCGCATGAAAGTAGGTTCAGTATCCTCCTATGTGTACTCTTTTCTGTTCCTGAACTTGATTCTGGGGCTGATTGTTGGTGTGGTGTCGGTTTTCCTTCTTGCGCGAGCGCAATTGAAAGGGGGATGTCGAGGAGATATGTATTCGTATACTGGAAGAGAATTGCAGTCTCTTCGCTAGTATTGCTCATCTCTTCAACCCTGTCTTTCCCCTTGTTGGCGATGGCGAAACTGAGCGGTTGATTGCGCCGGGTAGTTGTGGAGGTTTGAGTTCTCTCAGCCTCGTATAAATTCAAGATTAGACGGATTTTGTTTTCAACGCAATGAGATTCGATTTATTTGCATTCACTACAATATAATTTTCACATCTGCATCAATCAATTCACTATGCTCCACTAGGCAGCCAAAATCTCGATCTTAAAACAATAGACAGAAGAGAAAAAGTCCTATCGTAAGATCACAAGATACAAGGTCATTCAAAAACGCTGAAGAAGATACAAAACTGAGCCTCCACCCAGAAGAGACACAAGACTTTTTCACCGATTCCCCATGCACATCCAGTTCCTCCCTCGGGTCCGATTCTCCCCTGCCGGCGATCCAGCGTCCGATCAGGGCGAAGAGATAGGACAGTGAAATCACAACACGTAGCTAGATAAACCCGCTTGGTCTCCATGAGAAACTTCAAAGATGGGAGAAAATAAAGAAGAAGAAAAAGATGATCAAGAAAATTTATACATGTAGATGGGAAGGCAGGAAGATCGATTAGAAATCATACGCGAAGATGGGATCAACGCTGGGTACAAAGGCATGTACGTTAGTATTGCCGCATTACATGGTTTAGGGCCGATCCGAGAATGAACTCACCCGTCCACGTCGGCCTCCGCCCGACTGCCCCTGTACAGGCTGTGCCTGGGGGTAGTATTGCGGGGGATATTGATACATCTGGGCAGGGTTGACAACAGGGCTGAACTGCTGGTAGTTCTGGGCAAGCATCGGATTGGGACTCATCTGGCCTGGTCCAGACAGCGGAGAAGCCTGCTGCGGCTGCAGAGATCGCAGATTATCCACAGCGGGCGAGCCAGCTGGGTAGCCGTAGTTGGCGCCTGGCATGCCAGGATAGCCTGGGGTAACGCCACGAGCCTGGGCGGCGAGGAAGGCTTGGTATTGCAGCTGTTGCTGGCCCAGGGATTCCTGGCTGTATCCGCCTGCACCGGAAAGACTGTTCAAGTGGTTTCCGAGCCCATTGCTCGCATATGGATCAAGGGGCGGGGGGTTGGACTGGTCGGCGGAGATAGGACGGGCGTCGGGGTTCTGTCCAAAAGTGTTGGGAGTAAACTGCCCAGTGTATTGTCTGTCCATGGATGGCTGGGCAGGATAACCTGTGCTTCCGTGGCGAGACTGGCGGTGTTGGGATTTCTCCGGGGTGGAGTGGCCCGCCTCACGTCCATGGTGATGCTCCCGACCGCCGCTACCTCGCGAGGAGAGGCCCACTTCATCCATCAGACGTTTATAGCCTTGGCTTGGGGAAGCCTTGAGCTTTGTGAGAACCTTGGACACGTTCTTCACGACTTCCGTCCGCATAGATTCGTCAAAGAACGGGGTGGTCAAGACCTTGAAGATCAGAGTCGCACCAGATGTCTGGTCGCTCAGGATCTTCTCCAAAACTTCATCGCCAGGACTGAAGAACAGTGCCTTTAGAACAATATCTCGAGCTTCCGGCTCGTTGCGCTGGTTGATCACCTTGAGAACAGTCAAGTACGCAACCTTGTGAGTGCAGAGGTGAACAAGGTGAGGCACGAGTCTCGGGGCCAACACTGTTCGGCGGCGAGGGAATGTGCAGGTATCAAGGAACCAAGTGAGCAAAAGAGCTCCGTTAGCATTAGTGGCCAACTGCACACTGTGCAGAGCGATAGCAGAGGCAAGCATCCGCTGCTGATCCTTGGTGGCATGGTGGCTTTCGAGACAAGCTCGCATCGCTCGGGCGCCGAAACGTCCCTGGGCGATTTCCCACATTCGGCTGAGCATAGACTCGAAGATAAAGCTGTTAAACGGGCTGGCAAATCGCAGGCAACACTGCAAGACATAGTTTCCATACTGATCCAAGAAAAGAGGAACAGTGTAAGGGCGGAGAGCATCAACAATCAACTGCATCTGTCCAGGAGTCTTCGCAACATCAATGATCTTCTGCGCAGCCCAAGTTCCATTCTTGTGGACACCAATTTCGGAGAGATGGGGTGCGATGTGAGACAGCATCTTCTCCTTGGTGGACTCAGAGCAGAATTCAAATAGTTTCTGAACCACCGTGTTGCCGAGATAATCGGAGGCTAGCTCTGCAACCTCAGGAAGCATGGCCTCGGCAGTCTCTTCAATTTCTTGGATTGAGCATGCACCATTGTCAATGCGCTTGCGGATGTCACGGAGACGAGGGGCGTCGAACATCCGCGACTGGCTCGTTTCTTGGACCGAAGGGATTTCATCCTCGAAAGCTTGGAACGCAATAGAAGTCTGGATGCTTGCGGTGATGTTCTTCAAGTCATCTTCACTTGCGCCGAATTCCTGCACGATTTGCACCATCTCAGGCAACAGATCAGCCAGAGCGGCAATTTGAGGGACAGTGTTAGCGTTGTCCGCTCCATCCGCTCCATCGGCCGCAGCGAGATTTGATCTGAAGTTCGGGTCAGGAGTGGGAGACGACTGGATACCATTTGCGCCAGGAGTACCGGTGGCCGATGCACCAGGAACCTTGGCGTAACCAATTCTAACAGGGCCTGCGCCTGGGAAAATTTCCTTGCCATTGAGCAGCGACTTGGCTTGCACAGCGCTGTCAAGGCGATCGAAATTGACAAAGCCGCAGTTCTTGTGAGTCAGAACACGGGTCGATTCGATCTTTCCATACATGCCAAATATGGCTTCCAGAGACGTGACAGTAGTGGACACGGGAATGCTACCAATCCAAAGTGCTCGGGTAGGCCCATCCTGGTTGTTCTCATCTGCCATCTCGCCGACCTGTCGGCCAACCATGGCGGGAATGCTGTTACCGCCGAGATGCATCAGCTGAACTGCCTCGGACAATTCATCATATTCGCCATTCTCGGGAATCTGTAGGTCGGCAGCACTGAAGCTGTTGTCAAGGCGGGAAGGCGTGGCAAGGTAGTTGCGGATGGATGATCGCTGGGGAGGTGCCTCCAAAATGCCAGCAGTTCGCGCCCTGGGTCTGCTGACAGAGGCATGACTGGCAAAAGCTTGGACAGCGAGATTATGCTGGTGAATCTGGGCCTGTGTGGCGGCAAGTTGCGCGGCAGTTGCAGCGGCGGTTGGCGTCATAGTGCCCGAAGGAAGTTGCGAGTAACGGCTCTCATATTCAAGATCCTCGTCATCCGCGTACTTCTCCTTCGCATTGACAGAATATGATCGGAATCGATTGTTGTTCTTCATCATCGCCAGCTCAGCCAAGAGTGGCGGCAGCGCAGAAGCTTGCTGTTGCTGTTGTTGCTGTTGCATCAAAGCTTCCATTGAGGGACGTGCAAGAGAGGCCATTCCCTGTTGAGGGGTCTCAGCAAGACCCAAGTAATCCAAGGTCTTCACATCGGTGTCCGCGAGTCCATCCCTCGAGAAAGAAGAGTGGCTGGGCGAAGTCGGCCCTTCCGAAGACCGAATGCTGGTTAAAGTTGTAGCTCTCTCGCGACCCGTCGACCAGTTGGTTGAAAACAATGATGGGCCGAAGGGGCCGCCACCTCCCAAAAAGTTGCTTCTTTGTGGCATCGAGCCAGCTCGAAGGCGGGATAGCGATGCCGGGTTGGGGACACCAGTTGAACTCGCAACCTTAGAACTTGTATCTATCCCGGAAACACCGGGGGGTCTAAAAGGACTAGTTGAAGGCGTTGGTCGTGAGGTCTGTGGCATATAAGGCTGCTGAAGATCCACCTCATTCAGTGTGCCCATTGGAGGGAAACGAGATGGCACTGTTCCAGCGCGAGCTCGGCGGCCAGGACTGTCCATGGAGCCATTGGTGGTAGGAATCAAATCGGGAAAGCTATCTTGACTCGGCGATTCGGGGATATTCTCGCGAAGCGGGGTTGAATGACCGCTAGTAGGAGGTCCCCAGATACTAGGAGAAATGCCTTCTTGCGCTTGAATTTCACGGGCTCTGCGAGAAGAGTCAAGGTGTCAGCTAATTGTCGCGGTTCATGTCCCGCAAGAAGAAAACCTACCGCTTCGAGTACAGACGTGATGTCAAATCATGAGAAGGGGAGCCAGCCCCCGGCCTTGAACTGCCAATGGACCCTGGAGAGGGTCCAAATGGCATTCTTGGGTTCCCAGACCCTGCCAGATCACTGGGGGAGCTGCGCCCCGTCGAGGTACCCGACATGGGCTGGGTGGTTGGGATGTAATTGAAATTCATCTGACCGTCAGGTCGCGAAACCGGCAACATTATGGATTATCACTTTATGCCTTCAGTAAGGCAGTGCCCGAATCTCTTCCAAATTATGACCTCCGCGCGAATGCCAAAATGTAGTAAGGTCGGAACTTTAATGAGCTTTGTCGTTTAAAGGCGTGGAATAGGAAACATAAAATAAGGATAGAACGAGGAATCAAGGATACACTAGAAACAGAAACTGAAATTAGTTGGTGTTCAAAACACGTGTTTTGCTATTTGGGGAGGGGGGTCGCAAAGTGGGAGGGGCCGACAAAGCAATTCCATACGAGATGAATCGTGAGGATATTTCGTACCGAAAGCGATTCTTTCCAAATGCAAGAGCCACTGTGCTGTGTCGAGGGTCTTTGATGATAATCTCACCGTTTGCTCGGGGTGTATGACAATCTGCGGGTGTCCAAAAGTGATCGAGTTGAGTTGAGGAAAAAAAGGACAAGTCCTTTTCTATGGTCGTCCAAGGCCCAAAAAACACGGCAAGTTCACAAGGATTGTCTAGCACAGAGTGCGTCAAGTTGAGAAATAAAAAGATGGAAAGGATGATCCGGGTCCAAAGGGATCGATCGAGGTGGCTGGAAGTGAGTTAATGTTGCGCTCCGAGAGTGTCTTTCAACACTAACCGAAAGTTGAATTCACCCTAAGAATGCAGAAATCAAAAGAAGAAAAAAAAAGAGAAGTGAGGAAGAAGTCAAGGGAGGATGAGAAGGGGAGAGGAAAAGAAGGAGAAGAGATGTTGGGGAGCTGGCCGGATGCCCGAGGAAGATGGCTGTGGTTGGTGGAGGGCCCTCCTTCAGCTTCACCCACAATTCGATTGTTGATTCAGATGGATTTTGGGTTTAAATATGGAATATGATTGATTGCCTGTAACTGGATCTGTTTACTATATGACTCTATGGTTGGTTTCATTTTCTATCGAGTTCTGGGATATCCAAGGTGCATAAATCCCTAGACAGACATCTATAAGTACTTTGCACGTTTGTACTTTCATCTAAACAGAAACAAATATCGGGAATCGGCAGTTCCTCCAGGCGTTTGGCAATGGCATAGCCCCATCGATGTCATTGGATTTCTGGGAGGCTCCATTTTGCCTGGACATGAGATATCAACAAATCCAAAGAGGTATACGTTTAGTACATATACAAGACGTTTATACCCCCATGCCCTCCAGAAAAGTACCATTCGAAGTTTTCTCTCGGAAGAAAAGCGCTCATGGCATGACCCTAAAAAAAGAGACAAGAGTGGGAACGAAAAAAAGCCCCGCATTCCAGTGCGTCATGCCTCAACGCTTGAATCCTTGACAGGATAATGAAGCAAGCCCATCAATGTGAAGATATTGCCCTGCGGTATGAGATATGATACCAGTCATCTAAGCAGAGTTGACCAAGATCTTTGAAGCAAAAGACTGTGTTTTGCATGCGCGCAAGGGGTATGGGTCAGGTACTATGTCCTCGTCCTTGTTCCCAGAGGCGTCCTGGAGTCCTCTTGGATTGGTCATAGTGGCTGTGTTTTTAGAGACGTAAATAGACTAGACTTTATCTGCCGATTGCTAGCTTGAAGAACCCCGTGCTTTCTGGATCTTCAAGGTGTTCGCCAAGCTTCCAGAAGCATTCGGTACGGCGGAACAACCGGGAGGTTCGTGGCATCGTGGTACATAATAGGGTGGATTATCATTTTGGGGATAATAGTTGGGTAGTGTCAGTCACGATGCAATTAGGGTAGGACCGAATGAACCATCAGAGAAATCTTGTGTCGTTGCTTCAAGGTCAATGTAAACACGTTAGTTAAGATCATTGGCCAGATCATTTCTGCTCGCCTGAGGCATCAGATTTTCTTTCGCGCCACTGCCTGGTCTCCTTGCCAACTTGCCCGCAACGGTATCTTACCATCACTTCAACAGCTCATTCTTAATCGCGTGGCAGAATCCACACTCTATATGCTATAATTTTCCAGATTTTTGCTTATCGTTGACACACGATTCATAGTTTGTCGCGCACGCGTCCCCTTCTCGCGTCCGATGCTTAATCGTCCATTCTAAGGCACCTGCCACCCCAGTAACACCATGGCCGACATTATGGAAGAAGACCCATCGTCTGGGCTACAATCTTCGGAGGAAGAGGAGATGCCCGTGGAATCATTGGTCAGAGGGCGCGCGAAACGGAGTACCGCAGGACTACACATGTCTGCCCTCCTCGAAGCCGCTGCCGATGATGACTTGGCGCTTCTCTTTGAGGAAGTCGAAGACGACAATGAGTTTGCGGATGTGGCAGACCCCGACGCAGAGGATGACTTACTAGAGTCGTCGGACGAGGATGAAGACCAAGGACCGAATGCGCAAAATGACTACGAGGGCGAACAAAAACTACAAAAAGACGAGCGCAAGAAGCGTAGAGCCCAGAATGACCTCCGGTTCCAGACCTTGCGCAAACGAGTCAAGATCGATCCAACCGCCCCATCCTCCATGTCCGCCGCTCCTCGTCCAAAGAAAAAGTCAGAGCGCATCTCATGGATTCCCACTGTGGAGGATGGGCCTACTCGGCAATCATCGCGTCGCCAGACCATGGTCAACAAGGAGCTTACGCATGCTCGCCTCAAGGATAGCCAAGAGAAACGAGTCCGCATCATCGCTACAATGAAGGAGGCAGAGAAGCGGAAGGCCCACTTGAAACCGAAAGAGATGACCCAGGAAGATCATCTTGCGGAGGCTGCAAGAGTGGAACGGCTTAATAGCAAAAGTTTGAACCGCTGGGAGCTGTCGGAAAAAAGAAAAGCGGACGAAAGACGAGCGAGGATCGAAGCACTGCAAAACCGTCGTCTTGATGGTCCGGTGATTTCCTACTGGAGTGGTGTGGCTACATGGACGAACGGCCGGCTCACACGGGTGGGTAAAATCGAGATCAAACCAAAGCCAGATAAAGAAGAATCGAGGAAGAAAAAGAAAGAGAAGGAAGATAAAGAGAAGGCTGCGGCAGAGTCAAAGTCCTTGGGGTCTGCAAGCATTGTTGGATCTGCCCCTGCTTCTACCACAGGCACATCGCAGCCACCACCAGACTTTCATGCAGTTGAGACCACTGGTCCAGCAAATTCCGCTCTACCTCCTCCCACCCCCACTTTAGACCAAAAGACGCCTGAAAACAAGCCACCCGAAAATGCTGCAGCTCCGACTGCAGAGAATGCAGACACCCCCGTAGTGTCTTCTGGGGCGAACATGAGCCAACCAGATACAAAGTCTTCAGAGACGAAGACAATCACGGCAACTCCTGCCGAGCAAAGCAAGGACAGTGCCGTGGAAAAGAAAGCTCCGGAGGTTGTCGCAAATACACCAGTATCACCCTCTGCGCAAGATCAAACCACTACCTCTGAAAGGCAATCCTCGGAGTCTAACCCTTCGGAGAGAAAGAATTTTGCTGTGGAAATTCCTGCGTCTCGTCATTCATTAGCTTCTGCGGGCAATGGCTCTACCCAAAGATTGCCCGACTCTTCCCCCACCAAGAACGACGATGCCATGGATATTGATCAACCCCCAGCGGCTGTAGCGGGTGCAGATTTTACCAAGATGAATCAAGATGTTCCAGAATCAACAGGCCAGGCAATCTTGGCCACCCCACACGTTGCTGGTGCCCAACCGACCCCGGTAGAGACCCCTATATCACATGCTGCTGGGACGATTGTACAAGAACCACCAGTGGACAAGTCCCAGCCAGTTGAATTAGTCACGACTATCAGCCCTGCAATTACACAGGCCCCTCAAGCCTCCCCGGCTACTGCAGCACCTAGTCAAGCCACGGTGCCCGAAAATGCTCCAGCCCAGAGCCTAAACCAACCCTTCACTTTACAGTCCGAGTCACTATTATCAAATGGGATGGTGAAGGAACCAGCACCACCTGAGATTCCAGAACCCCCTCCAGTGATTGAGCATACGGGACGCACTCTTACGATTTTGGAAAACTTTGATTATGCGACCGCCAACAATCGCAAATACAGCATGTACTTCAACGCCAAGAAGCCTGCTCGTTTGACCAGTACGTTGTATCAGATTTGGTTAGGAATCTGTAAGGCTAACCTCACATGATAGAAATTTCGTCATCGCTTTGCGTCATCACCTCATTGCCCTCGCGTTACCGCGATCCAGAGACTGCTCTCCCTTACGCCAATTCATACGCATATGGCCAAATCCGTCGTCTGCTATCGGAAGGGTATATTTGGAGCTCGATGCTTGGATGCTTTGTCGGCCCGGCCGAGGCTGCCCGTGGAGTACCCGAGCGATTTACAGGCAAGACGGGCCCAGGCACAATAAAACTACAGATCGACAGGGATGAGGGCCTGGCCGAATCGACAGGGAAGGAAATTGACAAAATGGCTCTCGGGGTTCCTGCGACACCCCCAGGGACTCGAGCATCAGAGCCAATGGAGATCGATAAGGCATGATTATTTGTAGATACCCAGAATCGAGACCCAAACGTCAGCATCACCTCTCCATATACATAATTTTTCAACGTCAAAGCTTTGTTATGATGTATTCTAGGGTGACAGATGTCACCTGCCCCACAATAAAAAAAATCAATCTCAGCTTGCCCTGTGATATTTTATACCCCGACCTGACTTATCCGAGGAACCAAATCGGTACCCGGCGGAAAACGGGAAAGGAAAAAAAGTCACAAACAAAAGGTGTTCGCAAGTGAAGACCCTATCTTCCGAAAATCATTCTCGAAACAAAGCCCCGGTTTTCCCCATAGACCCGAAACACGGAGGATCGACGATTAGCAAGGCCTGGAATGATCTCACCCCCTGTGACGAGGTCCCTGCAACGCTTTATCGTAATAGGTAGACGTGTGTGTGTGACACTTCACCCCCACAGAGATTCTCGATTGTTCCGCCGATCTATTATCGTTGTCGCCGTAGCCGGCAGTTATTCTGTTACGGAGTATCATCTTAACTATTTGACTACTTTGCTACAGCCCTATCAAGGAGTAATAGTGGGCAATGATGTGTTCATACCCACCAGTTCATGCCATAGTTGAAGAGCGATTTATGGCGTCATGTAGAATGTAGTTCTTCGGTATAATGTACAAAATGTATAGTACTTAATTTGTAGCGATACTGGCTTGTCAAGAATGTGAATCTACCGATCACGCCAGATCCGACCCCCCTCCGGAGATATGGTCCCTGCGTTACTGCACTACAGATGATATACTTAGGAAACCTACATTGCGTTTCAGGCGATGTCCAAGGACACTATTGTAACAAGCACCAAGACAAATACAGTAATCTAGATTCAGATCAGATCCAGTAGAAGACAAGAAAAGAAAAAAAAAAAAAAAAGGCCGATTAATTATAGAAGAGACCTTCGTCACTAGTGACTCAGCTGGTCTAGATCGGAGGATTGCGTGTTCGGGCTAACTTTGGGAGCCGGAAAGTACCCGGGAAGTACTCTTAAGCGTGCATAATGGCGTCGGGGCCTACCGGAAGTGACTTACCGGGTACTTCACTCCGCTTCAAAAGAGTCTAGACGTGATCGTCTCATCCTACCACAACAGCACGTTTTCTTTCTTTTCAGGGCACTTTCCATCTTTGTATTTATATGTTGCAATTCCCCTCTTTTGCCTTTTGTATTCCCTTCTCAAGTCAATTTTATAGACCTTTTTACTATAGACTGGTATGTCACTCTTATCTTCAGGGCCTATTTCCCCCTTATCTCCCCCCACTCAGAGGCTAAAGATAGCCTGTTGCATCAGGATTCGAGAACGTCCGTGTCAGATGCTAACCACCTTATCAGCATTTTTATTTCTTCACCCCACGTTTCTCAGTATACATACTCCGGTGTTCCTCAAAGAACGGAAGCATTTGTATTCCCAATCACACCGGCCCGGCACATTCCAGTTGGAATCATCACTTTTTCAACCACAAATCCCTCAGTCTGTGCTCCCTTAGGGGCTCTTGTGCTCCACACTCCAGTCTCGGCGATATTCTTCTTTTGATAAGATAGTGAGGCATTTGAATGCCTTCACCGCCACAAATGACTCAAACAGCCCCCTTCCACCGCCGCTCTCCTTCTACTCCTCATATCTCCAAGTCCAAGTCTACTCGTCCAGCTTTACATCGACGAGGGACATCCGGCGTTAACATCTCTAAACTGGGCTCGGGACAAAGGGGAGCGAGCAAGCCATCTACGTCTTCGGACGATACTGAGTTTGATATGGCCAGCTTCTTGAACTTTTGGTATGTGATCAACCCAAAGCTCTTATCTTTGCTGCAGGGATCATTTCCCTCACATGCCTGTTGCCGTCATCTGTGATACACCGGTCTTTTCTTGAACATAAAGCTGACCCAATTCCAGCGCCATGTGCGAGAACCAGATTACTGTCCCCAACAACACTTTGTTATATTGTAGCGAAAGGTATGTGGCAATTCCCGCGGCCTATATTTAGAGCCATTGATATCCTCTCCTTTCCCTCTTCCAATTCTCCATTTTTTTTGTTTGGAACCTACATAATATCTTGGTACTTGGATACTCATCATTTCCTTTCATCTATATAGTTGCCGCCGCAAAGACTCCTGCAAACCACTCTCGGCATCATTACCGTCCATGTCCTCAATGTCTTCCACTACTACACCACCCACATCTCCTCCTCTCTCCCCACGCACGATCGTGGCCCCAATGACCCCAACCAGGGTGCCAAGTAACTCAATCCCAACCATGCGGATACCCAGCCACGTGCATGATGCCAAGTCAGATCTCGACCCCACCGAGTGGAAGCCCGTATTAGCCCGCAGCGCCTCTTCTCTGGCATCTTCCGACGCATGGAACTATCTATCCCAGTTCCACCGCGGCACCGGCGAGCCCATGCTCTCCCGCCCCGCTGTCCAACGCAGCAGCTCCAGCCTTCCCACCCTGGCCGGAGGTGCCCCCGGCTACAGCAACGTGCCCGGCCTGACGAACACCCCGTCCACCGTGGCCTCATCCTTCAGCAGCACCGCCTCCGACTACCTCGGCAGCATGTACGAGGCCCGGCCTCTCCCCCCGCGCCACAACCCGTACTTTTCCGGTACGAGCGTGAGCAAGGGCGTCGAGCTGGTCGTCCCGCACATTGCTTCTGCGAATGAGGATCTCGGCACCATCGGTGTCTCGGACAGTGGCTCTATCCTCCCGGCCAGCAGTGCTGTGTGGGAAGATAGCTCGTATGAGAAACGATCTGCTCCTATCTGCATGGCGCGGGGTATTGGCGGCCGGCCCGCTGAAACTTGCGTGAAAAACTGAATTGAACAAAGAACATGAAATGAACTATTTGCTATCTCATGCAATGAGATGAGTTTTATCTTTGCTTCTTTCCTTTGTTTCCTTTCGGTTTATTTCTCGCCCCCGTGCTTCTCTTTTCTTCTTTTCTTTGAATTCTGGGTCCGAGCGAGCTGTGACTCTTCAGTGTGGAAAATGATATGATATGATGGACTTTGCTCTTTATTTTATTCCCTACGTCTACCCCCATCGAATATAGATTTCTTAATGCGGATATCTCTGGTATCTAGATCAAATGAACCTTTTTTGGAATTATTTTCATCTATTTCTCTCTATTTCTCCAGGATCAAATAATTTAAGCTATGTTAGTTTACTTCTCTAATTCAAGCTTATTTATTTGTGGATACAAAAGGACCTAGGGTGCTTATCTGTGCATTTGTACCGTCCACATGCACCTATACGTACTGGATATTCCCTGGCGGGTGGGGCTTTCCTGTTTGAGCTACCGCCGCTTTTATGAGGGTGCTTAGGCTCAGGCTCACTGAGTAGATGTTAGGGAGAGGCGCCGTCTGTAGAGAGAAAAGAATGGTTATGCTCCTGGGGCCCATAGAGAGGAGGACTTAATTCGGGAGAAAGATAAAAGGCTCCCTAAAACCAATAAATTACATTAAGAAACTATAAACCTCTGGCTGAAGTGAGTTAAGCCACATCTGAAATGGTAATCCCTTTCCTATTATGAATTATACTGACCTTCCTTTTGATTTCACTGCAGACCCGGAGAATGGGTTTAAATATTACTAAACCTCCCTTAGTTCTCCGGCTCTAACTCATGAGATGACCAAGGTGTACATTCGCTGATACGTAAGTTCTACTTAAGGGCGACTGAACGATGATGGACTACCTACGGTAAGAACCGTGGGTGCGTATGCCGAATAATTCTTGAGTGGATTTAAATAATTCTTAAAAAAGTAAAATCTTCCCAGACGATCGAAAGGAAATAAAAATGGTTAGTTTATTCGTAACTTCCCCTTTAAAGACTATCATAAACTAACCTTAAATGCAGTGGATCAAAAAAACCTTACCGGCAGATGGCGTCGTTATAGACTAAAAGAAAGAGAAACTTAACCTCATAAGGCATGATATCCGCTCTGAAAGATAGTCTCAAGCATACTTTGCTCACCTCGTTTCAAAATGCCACGTTTGACTCAGCGCCAGGTCGAAGACGACGAGTGTAAACTGTTTACCTATCGTGAAAGACGTTTCTGGGTTGGCTCTCCTTTCATACCTTGTGAGACCGTGACATAAGAACAACTCGATTGGGTAACTAACCTGGCGAGCATCGTGTTGCTGGCTGGAAAGTTCCTTGGGGCACATTTGTTCCGGCGAGGGCGCTCGGGGTCTTCTCGTGCGGTCCCTCTCAACAACCCGTTCTCCCATGGCACAGGGAAGTAAACAGTTGTGCGAGCCAACGTTCACCTCGCGTTCAAACACGAGGTAGCCCTGATGGGCGGCGGCAAGCTTTTGTAGTTTGCGAAATAGTGGCTCCGCAAATCAGTTGAATTGAGTATTTACTGACGGAAGGTGGTCAGGAGCCCTGGAACTTTCACAGCAAACCAGTGTAGGCAATGGTTAAAATGTGCTATGCAAATCTCTGAATTTCAAATTGACAGGATCAAGTGTCTGACAAAATAAGCAACCGAGATGAATCAGCCGAGGTTTCTCTCAACATACCTTGAGACCGTCACAAATTGCGCCATTGAAGTACCTTGACTGTGAGAATGGACGCACCGCAATTTGGTACGCGATGGATAACCCCGACGCAAAGATGGCTGAACTGCTCTTGCAAGAAACGAACGTGAGGTTAAATTGCGTCGACAACTTCGGTCAAACACCTTTAGGACGGGCTATTGAAAATGGTTCCTTGCCACTAGTAAAACTCCAACAACCGGGGCTTAATTTGAACACCAAGCTGATGGCACGCAATATTCTGTCGAGCTCGGCAACATGAACGGTCTATTGGTCGATCGGACTTGAATTTGTTGGGATTCGGCAACTTCATGTCGATGTATCCTACTGGAGAAGGAATGGAGAAGATTCGGGATCTATCCAATCTATCCAATGGGGTAAATTTGGGCCAAGAATTAAAAAGCGCTTTAAGTTTGGAGTAAAAATTCTCATAGCTCTTCAGGACGTAGTAGAATTGGGGCATCAAGTAAATTTATTATTTATTATCCTGCCCTTACTGCTAGCTCCTAGTCCTTCGTCCGTATCCTCCTTCTCTACACACAACTCAACATCGCTGAAGAAGATAAGACATGCCTCCCATCCGGCTCGGCATCATAGGCTTGTCCGCCGATGGAGGCTGGGCTGCCACGGCCCATTTGCCATACCTGCAGCAGTCCAACAAATACACCATCACAGCTATCTGCAACTCGTCCGCCGAGTCCAGCAAAAGAGCCATCGAGCAATACGGGCTCAAGTCTGCCAAGCCTTTCGACAACCCACAAACCATGTGTGTCTCGCAAGACATCGATTTGGTGGTTTGTGCTGTTGCTGTTTTCTCGCACTATGAGCTCATCAAACCCGCGATTGAAGCCGGGAAAGATGTTTATGTTGAATGGCCACTGTGTGCTACGACAGAGCAGGCCGAGGAGATCCAGCAGCTAGCTAGGAGGAAGGGCGTCCGTACCATCGTTGGTCTTCAGGGGTGCGTTTCGCACGTACAGACTACTTTAGAGGAGATTATCAAGAGCGGCAGAATTGGCACCCCCTTGGTCACTCAGATTTCCGGTAGCGCTTGCACTGGGGAGACGGGCACTCGGCTTGTGGAGCGTTATCGATACTTCAAGGACCGTGACATTGAGGGTGTTTCAGGCCAGGTCATGCTAAGCATCTATGTTGGCCACACCTTTGAGCCAATAGCTCATCTGCTGGGCCAGCCTAGTCAAGTGTCTGCGCAGTTAAAGACGACATGGCCTATCGTCAATATAACCACCCCCGATAACAAAGTCCTTCAGAGCCACGTGAAGAAGACTGCAGACGACTATGCTTCTTTACAAGGCACCCTCACCTCGGGTGTTAAGTACACTTATACCATACGTGGTGGAGATGCCTTTGATGAGAGTGAAGGCCTAGTTTGGGATATCATCGGCGACAAAGGTGAGATTCGACTTACCGGAGGCTCTATCATGTTGAATCTCGGGGCACCCGACTACAAAATCCGAGTCAAGGACTACAAATCTGGATGCATCCAGCTTGCGAGGCTCCAGGATCATCTGGATCTCCCACTGGCTGCCCAGAATATTGGAAGTCTTTATGAGAAATTTTCGGATGGAAGGACTGTCCCTACTTTTGAGGATGCGGTCCGGCGACATCGCTTTCTGGATGCAATGTTTCTGTCTGCCAGCAAAGGGGGTACTCAAGAGAAGATTTCGGTCGATTAAGCTGAGCGCACAATACGAAATGACTAAATTCGGGCTGAGACTGATGTACTTGACAAACGTCCAAATTGGTTTCAGGCCAGGAAGTGTGATGGGCTTTACATGTAGATACAAGGGTATATATATAGTTGTGGTAGCCTGCATATTGCTCCGCGATTTGTTAGGGCAAATGGAACCATCCATCCATCCAGCTGGTCTTCTCTGGCGTATAGATCCCCATACACACGAAAGACTGTACCGGTTCAACTCGGCGGTATCTAGGACATAATTTTGCGATGATGCCAAACCTTTCTTCCTGCGGGTGGCCTTTGGCGGACAAGACTGAACCCTCCTGACACCGGCCGTCGACTGATTTGTGTTATGTTTGCCAAAACAGCTAAGTGTCCACGGATAAAGCCCCCATAGACTAGTCCTTCGTACGGTCAGCCGATGGACACAGTGCATGCGAAAGAAAATATCATTGGTCGAATTGATCAGTGGGTTGTAGAAAGCCCATCGCTTCGCAGCCAAAGGACATGGTCTATCCAGGCCATGTGTGGCAAGAGGAACCTTGATCGTTGGGTAATTTATTCATTGGTTGCAAATGCAAGGGGCGCGGGAGTATCTGCAAGAGATGACGGGGCCCTGGCAAGACACATCTCTTCCGCCCTCTACTCACCAGGGAACGGGCGCACATCCGCAGCAACATCTTAGCTCAGTGGGAGCAAGAGTGGAAGTCCTCCGCTAAAGGTGCTCATTTGCGAAGTATCGATAAGACCCTGCCGGCGACCTACACCAGAAGGCTGTACGGAAGCCTGCCTAGGAACCGAGCGTACCTACTGACACAATTACGCACAGGCCATAACCAGTTATTCACCTACGCCAAGACCTTCGGCTTCCGCGACGATGATCAGTGTGAATGCGGCGCGCAGGAAACAGTCGTCCACGTGCTGGTGGACTGTCCAAGACTGAGGGAATCGCGAAGGGACTTAAGGAGAGAAGTTGGGGACGCGTTTAAGACGCGTTTAACAGCGTGTTGAGTCTGCTGGGAGGTACCGCAATCGCTGTGGATAGTAATGATTTTGTGACTGATTCAACAACATTGCGAGAAGATGGAAGATTGCCATATTGATATCTTTCAAGTCGAACCACACCATCTTTGATGATCATGACACCAGCCAATCCAGCGGTATACATGAAGGAGTCGATATCTTGAATGCTGCCATTGATTATTGCTTTTAGTTTGATTGGTTCTCCGCGGCCAATTGGCGTCGCTTGGATCCGTGGCGAACTTGGGTGGTTCGGTTTGGGAGCCATTCGTCCTCATGACGCATGAGAAAAGCAGTGTTTGCGAGATCTGTGTCATTGAGACTCGACAAAGTAAACGTCCCAATATGGGAAGGGTCGATGTGTGGGGTAGTTTCGGGAAGAGACGATCGTGGTAAAATGTTCGTTGGCGGAGTGTGTGCACTGGCAAAGGCACCCACTAAGAGAGCGCAAATTGAACGGAGAAAAAGGGTTTGGGGCACCATTATAGAAGTTCCTGTATTTTAGATGGTGTTGATCCGATCTGACCGTGAACTAGGATACAAATACATGTGGGACGGCCTTTTATACTTGGTGTTATTAGATGTCTTATTTAGAGCATTGGAGAAGGAAATGCTGCACACGGGCACATGAGTTGTTTGTCAATTCGGAGACCTTAATTTGGGGACGCCATTGAGAAGCCCATCTCTCAGGTTAGCATGATATATTCCTTGGTTGGTGTACTTTTAGACGGTACCAATTAGTTTAGTGTCAGGTTAGCTTCTTTTTGTGTCAAGTAGTCGGGCGTCATTCGAAGTGTGGGAGAAATACCCGATTGGTCCCGTGAACTTGACAGTTTCGTCTTCATTGAAGAACGTCACCATGGGAGTATACCCATTAAAAGGAGGTGTTCGTGAGGTCGAGGTATCAAGAGAACCGTCGGTCAAGCACAATTGTATCCTAGTAAATAATTTCACATCGCATTTTATAGTTATCATTGCGTTGGGTAAAATCTTTTCTTACTGCGTCTTCCGTTTTATTCTCCCGAAAAACTTTCCGAATAATCTTGGAGAAACCTGAGTCCCATTTTGAATTGTTTCTCCAACTGAGAATTCATCCTTTTTTGACTCCAACGTGGGACTGGGGTATGGTATCCACTCAACCGATATGGACCTTCGGAATGATGCACATCAGGAAGGTTCTTGTAGGCTGTTAATTTCCTCCACTCATCAACTCGCTCAGGTATCAGAATCACGCAGAAACTATGACCCAGGAACAAATACCAACGACCATGAAGGCGTTGAGGCTCGTGGCGGTATGTTGTCGCCCCTAGTACACTCGAGTCGTGTAGCAAAGTCCACCAATCGGAACTCCAGCTGATCATCAGCAAGTATAACGAGAACTACTGACTTCGGAGTGATGTCCCTGTCCCGATTTCTGGGCCAGGAGAGCTCCTTATCCGCGTGGCCGCAGCTAGGTTATACCATACCGATTACTAAGTCTACTAAGGCGCATATGGAACTCAGCTGCCATTCACCGGCTCTTATGAGCCTATAGGCACTATCGTTAAGCTTAGCTCTGAAGTACCGGGTATTAGGTGAACGACCGCGTTAGTGTGCTTAACTTTGGAAATCCATGTAATGAATATAACGGATGCCGATAGCGAATGAAGACGTATAGCTCCTTAGATACCCGGTATTACGAAAATAAGACCATAAGCGGTATTCTGAGAGCTAGCGGCGGCTTTACTGAGTACATGATTACTTCGTATTATGCGCTCGTCCACTTACCGGATAACCTGGCCTTGTAAGCCGCACCATTAATATGCGCTAGTGTATATATATCCCTTCTACGACAGGGCCGTGAGGAGACGTAAACTAAAAGAGATCTAGCAGGCCACTGTATAGAATGTAGTTAAGGAAACTGGGCTAAAGAAGGGGCAGTCGATTACCATTATTAGAATTAGCGGACTTAGTGTTCTAGCCGTGTAATTTACTAAATCTCTAGGCTTACGGGTCGTAGCTATCGATAGTCGTGATATTAGTCTAAAGCTTATATTCGAGATTCCTGCTTAACTAGATCAGGTCATTAACTTTAACGGTTACGATGCTATCTAAAAAAATCTCTGAGTTTACGGACGGCATTAGGTTAAACGGTGCTGTGGTCTATATTAATGATATACTAGCAAGTGACTAGGCATTATACCGCCTTTAGCCTAGAGGAGTCTGTGTTATCCTCGGGTTACCAGAATCTGGCTTATATTTCGATGCGTTTTATCTCGTGTTCCGAGAGATTATCGTTAAAGGATCGCTGCATTGCCCCGTTAATGAAGTTAAAGCAATGATTAAATCTGTTTCTGATAATAGGGTCATCAGCCATCTTACCATCCTGCCACTAGAGAAGGCTGAGGGCATACCTGATAAAGCAGCTGCAGATTTATTCACCGGACGTCTGGTCGTTACGTTATAGTAAAACTATCATTAATGTCTTCGAATGTAATCCTACTATTTAGGGCATATGTGCCTCGCCCAGTTATTACCGCTAGAAAGCTGTATGAAATCAATTAAATTAAGATAATAATTTCTCGATTAATTTTCCCCATTATCAATATCTCTGCTAAATTTCAATCCTACCTACCACGCCAATCATATATTGTCAAAGAGATGGAGGCTTAGTAAACAGGATGGCTTTTAATCTATAACTAGACAGCTTGACATACGATCGCCAAGGCCTCCTATTGACACCACCAGGAAGGCTCATATTGACGGCGAAACGACCACGGGAAGAAACTGCCTTGGGCGTACATCGAGCTGACCAAATGGCCCCGGGAGGTTAGCTTACCGACCGTGCTGTGTAATGACTGACATAGACAGATAGGATGATGACAGCGTTGCCTATTTCCAGGATGTCTAGAAACCAGGATGACACGTTTTCGCGGTGCAAAAAGCCAACATCGATGCCCATCACGACCCCCGCCGAAAGCCCGACAACACCAAAGCAATCTTCGGCATGGCCCGAATAAAATGCCCTCAAGTCACCGACCAATGCTCCCCTTATCGCGTTTGGCTGAGAGAAGATCACGGTGTTCTGTAGTATGTGGCCATGAGACACTCTCTTCAAGCTGACGTCCGACCCAAAGACGGTCTTCAGACACGGACTTCCCCATATATTGCAAGGTCAACAGACATCATCACCCTTGGCCTGAACAGCCACAGAACCACATATACTGCATAGCTGATGCACAAAGACGACCCACGACGTCCACAAAGAATAGTTCGATGACGGTGCCCATGGCCCGTACTGTACTACCGCTCACTTCTTTCGTCCTCATCCCCGTTCCTGCCCCCGTTACTGTTCCAAGAAACACCTCCATCAATCCCATATGCCCTGGAAATACCCCCACAAATATCCCAGATGTGACGACGAAGGCGACAACGGAAACAGCTGAGATGGCCCATCGGACTCAAGAGATGGTATACAGCGGCAATAATAATCTGCTCCATATGGACCAATAAAAGAAAAATGTTGGTATAAAGAACAGGTGCCACAACGCACTCTCACAGAAGCATAGGAGGCGATCAAGCCAGGGATGGGGTTGGGTGGTCTATCATGGACAAACCAACGCAAGACTCAAACGTCAAATACTGGTTCTGTGTCAAATCCTCGAGTTGCGGTATTTGATCCAATCCCCAGACACTGCCAGACTGAGTGATTTCTGGAGTATTTGATGAACCGACCCGCCCATCCAGTCGCGCCCACGGCCCCCATAACCGGACAGCCAGGCTATTATGTGACCACTGTTTTGCTATTTGACGGCCAGCAACCGAGGCCTAGACGGTCCTAGAAGACATTCAAGGTGTGATGCTCATGTTTCAAACTTCGGAGGGTCGTGGTGGGAGCGAAATCTTCGGGATCATGGAATGTCGAGAAGAGCTGTGCTCAACCTTATAGGTGCGGTCGAATATACAATGTATACAGTGTGAATATGGAGGATTCAATTATCGGCAGAGGAGATGGAACAGGAAACTTGAATCCCGACGTCGGAGAAACAGAAGGCGCCAACAAAGGATCCTAAACGGAAAGAGCGACCTCGGGAGTCAGCATACAGTTTCTACCCGTATGTTGTAGACGAAAGCTGAAAGACAGAACATTACCTCTTCAATGTGTTTCCTTTCTGTTGAGAGGAAACAGAACATGAGTTTCCAGGAGTGCCCAAGGAAACCGTTCAGGTTGCGACTGAACGAGACCACATTCCGCAGATCGTCCACCAGTATTCACAGCTTCCGCTTCGAGGTATAGGGAAAAGGTCGACATGTTTGAACGAATCATTGTGATAGATGGTCGAGTTTCATCTTTACTAAATTTGCAGTCAGTCTACTTGTTAATTCAAGTCTCCCCCAGGTAAAGTGCAATTGGAGCCGTGCCAATTGGCTGCTCCTATCTCCTGGGATCTATTTGGAACAAAAGTGTGCAAATCATTGCCACTGCGCGACTCCAACTACTTGCAGAAAGTGCAAGTCGCCACGGATCCAAGAAGGATGTCTTTGCCTCTTTGGAATCAAGAATTAATCCACAGCAAATCCGAATTTGGAAAATAATAATAATAGAAAAACCACGAGCTCAGGATGGTCTAAATATGATACTCGGACGTTCGTGGAGCATCGACGATTGGCTGGCAATGTTATCCGGGCCCATTTGTGGTCTTCAGAATCGTGAACAATACAATTTTTAATTTTTTTTTTTTGATTTTTTAGCTTTCTTTTCCACTGAAATTACTAGGTAAATATGTTAATCAAATAGGCTTGAGAGCTTGAACTCATAAGTATACTTGGTCTGATATTTCTCGCCTCAAGTCTTTTCGGCCTTGTATTGAGACTGGCGGCAATCTGCCTAGGGTATCCCCCAAATACCATCTTTTTAAAGGTCCCACCTTTCTCTCTTTGACCTGTCGACTTTCGTCGAGTCCCATCTTCCCACCTTTCTATGGATTCTATGTATAAGGCCATCTATCTCCAAGTCGGGTGACACGTGCCTATAAACACGTATGGCCGACCGCTCCCGCCCAAAAACCCCTCCTACCTGGTCAATATTTATACTTCCCAACGTTTGTAGTCTGCTTGTTAACCGCCATGAAGTCGTGATATTTTATAGGTAGACACAAGAGAATACCAAGAACCCTCATATGATCAGCTTCGAACACGATAGCCCAAGATCATCCATCATCCCCAAGCCTTTTTCCCACATAGGACAGAAACCCTTGACAGCACACCCGACTCAGTTCAACTCAAGATGTCAGACCGCACCGCAACCAACTCCACAAACGGCGGAGCCCCCGAAGACCGCAACGGAGGCCGCCAGACCGAGTCGTCAGGCAGGGAGAATGCAAGGTGAGTAGTCATTTTCCCGCCCAAATTGCAACAAACCTTTATTCTCTCTTACCTATCTCACTTTTTTTTCTCCTCCCAAACGCATCTGCCCGTAAACAATCCCCCTTCTCGGCAACGCTTAGATGACTGAAAGCTGAGAACTCGTGACTTCCCCACAGCGAACACACCAACGACTCACCTGAGCGCCGTCAGGAGATCCTTCAGCAGGAAGTCGACCTGAACTACTACCGGAAGCTCCTGGAAGACTTGGTCGCCGTCATTCGTGACGCTCATAGCGAGTCCATCGCTCGGATCATCTCGCTCATTCGTTCCGGGGCGTCGAACGAGGACATCCACATCGCCCTTCAACACATCCAAGACGAGAGCTGAACGTCGCACTCTTCGGCTTTCGACCTTGAAATGAGACTTTGCACCGTCGTTGGCTTTTAGCTTTCGATGATTGTTTGCTTTTTTTTTGTTTCCTGGAACGTGGCCCAGAATAGTTGTTGACATAGCGAACTATTCATGCATGTTGATGTTTTCTAAGAGAACATCATGAAAGTGTCTTCCTTTTTTTCTATGTCTAGGTCTTGGAAAAGACAGACAAATTGAATGCTGCAAGTCGAGTGGTAGACGGTATAGCCCATGACGCTTTGTCCTTTTTTTTTCCACATCCATGCTATTTCTTGGGGTATTTTACCACACGGGATTTGGTAGGTATTTTCAACTTGACATCCAGGGCTTCTCGCCGTAGTATTGCCCGGGATATGCATGAATAGGGTTGTTGAAAAGGAAAAGGAAAAATGACGTGTGTCCGGCTCAAAGGGCAAAAACAGGAAAAAGAAAAGTGCTTGTACCCAGTAGCAATGACGGCGTTCAGCCAACAGCTATGATCTCATCGTTGATATGGAACGTCCATACGCCTCGGATGCCCTGGATGTCAAGTTGAAAATACCTACCCAACCACGGTATGAAGAGTGAAATACAGCCAACACTTTGTAGTGACAGCAGTATGCCACTAACCCATGGTGTGTGGAACCCCGATGCAAGCCCATCGGCCGGTACATGGGCAAAGTGATACCGGCGATGATACGAATGAAACAAAGGTGGAAAAAGGATACGAACATTAAGATGGACGATTCAAACAACGCGGGACGTGTGGGTGAACCGAGCCGAGATTGAGCTGTATCTGTCTGCCATGGGTGGCGAATTGTGGTTGTCAGAACGTCAGAAAGCCGAAAACGGGGGACAAGTACGCCGCCGATGTTACGCGCGCCTATACGGCGTATCCCATCCAAAATATCCGATACAGTTCTCTTCTGGCTCCTTTGGACAATGGAAACGGATTCTATTTCCGTGGGGTTTGGAGCAATGGAAGCCCAGGGTGTAGTGGATCACCCGCTACGCGCCTCTTTTCCTGTAGACGGAGATGCTCCTCTTCTCTCTCCGATACTAGAGATATACTTCAAGGCTTTTCTCTGTTTTGCAAAGAGCCGGTACTAACCCGTCTCAGAGATCTATCGACTTGAGACTCATCCTTGCACAGTCTACCTCTGGAGACGGAAAGAGACCAAGACCCTCTTCCTCTCTCACTCCTTCTCTATCTCCCAGGAACAGGAGCCCAAGACATTCTATCCATTTCTTCTGGAAGAAAAGTATGCACTAACCCATCTCTCATCGTCGGCCTTAAGAGATGAGGATGATGAGAGGTGGTTCAGGGACAGGGTTTCCCGCGCCCCGAAACAACGAAACTACAGACCACACCACACCGATTCGATCCCCCGTGACCACCAGATTTTATCCAACTCGTTTTGATTCCAATCTATTCTATTTCTATACACGAATGACAACTCGATACCCCATCCTCGATGACAGCCATGAACGTAACACCCGTTCCCTATTCTCCACTGCCAAATCCAACCCCAAATCCAACAAAGCCTCAAATCCACCTTCCATTCACCGGTCAGGGGCGATGTCGACGCAGAAAGCATGACAGATCGTGTCACGCCGCGCGTGAACAGCCGTGTTGTGAATCTAGCCAAACCTCTATGCAGACGGGATTCGGTTTGAGGCTATGTACACCTGCATACTTCCGTTTTGGTTGGGTTTGTAATCCCAGGTACCAGGGTCTTGGGCTAGGTTTCAACAGCAAAGGCAACAATCTTGGAATTAGGCATCATTGCGGTTGGAAACTATACTCAGGGAGATCCTATATAGTGGAAGATCCTATATAGTGGAAGATCCTATATAGTGGAAGATCCTATATAGTGGAAGACCGCTGCATGGACTGTTCGTATACAGAGATGAGTGTGGAAGACTGGTGATGTTTGGGGGCTATAGTATGTGTATAGTGTCACTGGGCATCGATCTAAAGAATCTTGCAAGGTACGACAAGGTCTAAGTTGATATCCGTGTTTCCAAGGAGAAACGTCCAATTTACATAGGTACTCTGTACCTGGGTATATAACATAGAAACAGAAACAGTTTTAATTGATCTGAAAGAGACTTCATTCTTCGTCCATTGTAGCACCAATGCCACATTCCTGTACCTATCGTGATAATGCTTATACTTTTTGTTTTTGTTTTTGACATATCTAAGGAGTGCAACGGCCGGTGTACCGAGGGTACAATGAGCAGTCACGGACGGTATAACGAGCGCACAGCCAGGCCAAGAAACGCTCGAGACCGAGACCGTAGCCACCGTGAGGGGAGGTACCATACCTATTGTTCCAATGTTAGTATGAATGAATAAAAGATAAAACAGGAACAAATGCGAGATATCAAAACTTACTTGCGCTGGTCAGTGTACCAGTAGTAGGGCTTGGGGTCCATGCCCTCGTGCTTGTAGGCGGCCATCAGCTCATCCCAGTTGTCCATTCTCATAGAACCTCCGACAATCTCGCCAACACCGGGCATGAGCACGTCAACACTCTCAGTGACACGGCGGTCCTCGGGATCCTTCTTCATGTAGAATGCCTTGATATTGGCAGGGAAGTGAGTCAGGAAGATGGGCTGGTTGATGATGTCAGTCATGCGACGCTCAGCAGCCTCGGCAATATCGTCACCAAACTGGTGGGGCTGGCCCTCCTCGTTGGGGATTTCGTGCTCAATCAGCCACTGGATAGCATCGTCGTACTTCATGCGGCGGAAAGGACGGGACGGGGGCTTGAAGTCAGGGTTGAGCTGCTTGATATATCCGGCAATCTCGGGCTCAGCCAGAGTGTAGTCAATGACACGGCAGATCACATCCTCGAGGTGGTCGAGCAGATCAGTGAAGGTGATGAAGTCCAACTCGGCTTCGATGTGGGTGTATTCCGACAGGTGACGACGGGTCAACGACTTCTCGGCACGGAAAGATGGGCATACACAGTACACATCACCCAGGGAGGGGAGGCATGTCTCGAGGTACAGCTGCGAGGACTGGGTCAGGTAGGCGCTCTCGCCGTAGTAGTCGAATCCGAACAGAGTGCTGCCACCCTCGACCTGGGTCTGCACCATGGCGGGAGGGGTCACCTCCAGCATGCGGGTCTCCTCGAAGGCCTTGCGGAAAGCACGTAGAGTAGCGGCGCGAACCTTCATGACGGAAGAGGAGGTCTCACCACGCAGAACCAAGTGGCGGTTGTCGTAGAGAGTCTGCGGGTCGGCGTCCGGCGCCACACGCGTGGTGATAGCCTCCTTGTCACCAGCGGCCTTGCCGATGATCTCGAAGAAGTCGGCGTGCAGCTCGCGGTCATTGGGTGCGTGCTGCTTGGGGGGCACAGCGCGCATCTCACCGTGGATGGACATGGAGGTTTCGAGGGTGAGGGTCATGATGTCGTAGGTCTTGACCATGTCGCCGGTCAGGACACACTGCAGGTATCCGTAGCCGTCGGTAAGAGTGATGAAGACGACATCCTTCTGGGCGCGGGCACGGTGAACTCGGCCCAGAACGCGGACTCGGGTGCCGGCCTCATCGGACTCGGGGGTGCGCAGCTTGACAATGGCCGGGTCGGTGACATCCAGACGAACGCGTACGGGCTTGGGCAGCGAGGTGTCCTCCTTGATCACGATCTTCTTGGCGTCCTCGAGGACCTTCTGGCGCTTATCGGCCTCGGCCTTCTCGCGGATGGCCAATTCGTGTTCCTTGGCGGCCTTCTTCTTGCGCTGCTCCCAGAGGTTGTTGGCCTTCTTCATTGCCGATTTGGTGGCGGGCTTCCACTCCAATTTGGCTGCGGGGTCAACATCCTCACCGGCGGCATCGGTCTGAGACTTGCGTGTGAGATACTGAATGCCTTCGGTGGTGGGGGGTGTTCCACGTAGGCGTGGACGAGGGTCTTGTAGGGGGCGGTCTCGGTGCCGGTGGCGGAGGACTCGTCTGTCCCGACGTCTTCGTCGATGTAGATGGTAGGCATGACTTTTGATTTAGTCCTTGCAGCCCAAGGCTTTTATTGATTGGGTTGTGGCGAGAGAGTTCTGTGGGAGAGATAATAAATTAATATAGGGTCTAATCTGTGAGTCATACACCATAAGGCTGAAGGGATACAAGGACAGATTAGAATGTGACAAAGAGCAGACTCACATGATATGCAGAGAATGGAACTCTTATCTCTTCCCAATTGCAAGTTGTCCAAGGGAGGAATCGCACATTGAGGTGGAGGGGTAAATTTCCGATAGATGCGGGATTCCCCACGGGTGCCTGAGGCATTGGGCTGTATATCTCGGATATCATTCGGACTATATTTTGATCCAAGCCTGACTGGTTTATTCCTAGATATTAAATTTTAAACGTGTATTATTTTTTATCTGATTTGAATCCATCTATATCATTTTCTTTCTCATAAGACGTGCAGTATATCAAGGGATATACTGCCATATGAAGTAGATCAACATTTTAAACTCATCCACGAGTTAGAGCCTTGGATAACTTTCTATCTAGTTCGTCTGTGATTATATAGCTCACACGGGATATTGCAGTCTTGGAGATGTATATAAAGGGGGTCACGGGACTCAAAGACGGAGAGGCAACGGAGATTAAAAGAAAGGTATTTAAAAGATGTCCTGTCTGTACTCCGTACTCCGTCTTCTATTCAATTTATATTAACCCCATGAACCTGTCAGGGGGGAAATTAGGTCCTGATCCAGTTCTGCAGGAGCCACGGGAACTCGAAGTTTGGGGAACCCCAAGTTTGTTATTTTATATTTTATATTTTATATTCTATTCAATATTCAATGTATATAATATGAAGAACTGCATATAACTTTCTATAAAATCAATATAGAGAGTTGGTCCGGCCCCTTAACCCACTCCTATTCTCCCCCTTTTAATGTTTTTTTTCCCTCTTCATACCTTACCTGGATTCACTTCCTTGCCTTTCATTCCTTTTCTCCACGCTCTTTTTTAACCCTTTTTG